TGCCGTGAGCTAGGCTGACGCCACGGCAGTCACTCTAGCCGGGGCAACAAAGGGAGACTCTGTCTCAAAAAAAAAAAAAAAGAAGTTATCTACCAAATTGTAACATGTTAGAGACTAACAATTAATACAAACTTCCACACTAACTTGTGTAGCTGTTAGAATAAAGCTTCTCCTGCCACCTCGGTTCAACTGTATACACTGAGATTACAAAATAAGCTATTAAAAAACCATTTGAAACTATTTGTGTGATTCACAATTTTCTTGATAGTCTACAATCAAAATAAGATACAGAAATAAGTTAGATCATAGGACTATTAGACTGCAATTATCATCTGAAATCTCTAATTTCATTTTCATGAAAACTCCAATGTTTTTATTAATTGATTTCACATTAAACAAATATTCATGAGTAAGCCTTTAAAGATCAACCACAGTAGGTAGGTCCTGAATAGAAGTGTAATCCTAGAAAGAAATCTGGGGTTACAAGGTCCTAGGGTCATGATTTTGGTTCTGCTGAGGACCTTCATTCACATTCCTGAATTAGCAGCAACTAGAACCAGGAGGAAATGAAGGCGGCCAAATAAAAGGTGTGCAGGTTACTGCACAAGTCTAGCGAGAGGCAAAATATGCAAGATTTTGTGTAGTATGGTTGTGTTAAGTGTGCAAGGGTGGGATGGAATGGTCACTTTCTCACAAGTTTACTTGGGATCTAAAATGTCAAAGCTACATTAATATGTTAGAAATGAATATTTTACTGGATCAAATTGGTGTAAAAATTTGGATTCTACACTGAAAGCAAAACCATCATTAGTTAATTCAACATTTCTTATATATTATAAATCATGTTTTGTACAAGAACATGGAAAATCATTGTCACAAAAACACTTTCAGAAGATTCTTTCTCTCTCTTAAATTTTTACAAATAAATTTCTGGAATTTGATTCAAATTAATCTAGAGGACAGTGTGGGGGAAAGAAGATGAGGGTATAGATGAAACAAGAGCTGCCATGAGCTAATGACTGCTGTTGGGTGATGGCCACATGGAGGCTCACTGCTCTCATTTATATATGAAATTATCTATAATAAAATTAAAGAAACATATATTCTGAATCTAATAAAATAATGGTTCTTCTCATTTTTACTTTCTTTTATAGCATTTCTTTCATGAATTTGTATTTGTGAAAGATTGATAAATTCATAATTAATTTGTTTTTATCATTCAAATACACGTACCAGAGTTTATGATCAGCCTAAGATAACCAGACTCCTAGTGTAATCTCTCATCTCATTCATGATTCACTCTATGCACTACCTCCACACAGTTAATTAGCCTCTGTTTGAACATTTTCAGGGAAGGATAAAGTTGAGTTCAGGCCAAAGTCCATTTTCAAATCAGTGCTAATTATGGGAATGTTTTTCATTACACTAAACTATCCTCTTATCAAAACATGTTACATTTCCCCTGAATAATCATGCTTACTGAAGTTTCTAGTGACCCTACCCTGAGTTATTAATTATATCAGTTGACAACATCTAAAAATAAAATCAAAGACCAATAGTTATCAAAACTTTTCACTGAAGAGTCTTTTAAAATTCACAATGGAACAGATAACACTATTAAATAAACCATTAGATTTTGAACACCGGATGTAACTCTGATACATTTTTGTCTTGTGTCCATCAATCTGGGAGAGCTTTAAAATAAAAATATTAATAAAACAATTGTTTCACAATTTCTTACCTTCAGGCAAATGTACTAAGTGATTTCTTCTTACATTAAGGTCTCTCAAGGCCTCCAGATTACCAATTTGGCAAGGTATAGTTTGAATTTCATTGCAGCTTACATCCTATTTTGAAAGGATACAAAGTAAAGATTGTTTTAATATGACAAACTTGTCTGCTTTAAACTATCTATAAAGTGGGATTAAATAAGATAATATCTATGGTCCTTCTCAGCTGTAAAAATAAATTATGATTCTTTGTCCAAGAATAATTCCATAATTTAAACTTGTATTTAATTTTAAAAACTGATAGGTTTTGACTGATTCTGTACATTTTATATAGAGCTACATGAATTTTGTGAGCAGAACTAAAATTAAATAACTTAAGATGTGACTAGGAGGTCTAGAATATCAAATCAAATCAAAAATGTTGGTGAAAAGGTAAAGTACAAAAAAGTATAAAAACAAATCTATTTAGGACAATAATTTCATTTTATATTATTCTAATGAAACTAGAAAAACAAAAGAAAGATAAAAATTATAACAATAAAATTATTTCAAAGGAAAGTCCAGTTTCAAAACACCAGTTCAACTGTTCATGAATATAAAATAAAAATGCATAGAAGATGACTAAGATCATTCTTTATCAAACTGAATGTGAAGGAGAAATAATAAAGTACACATAACTCAAAGGCTATGGAAAAAACAGTCTGCTCTACTAGCATTTGATCACCCTGTTTCCAATACATGCACTGGATAGGACTTCTGGTATCTTGGTTAATACTTTGAATCATGTTCTGAAAAGATATTATCTACAGGTTCCAAGATTAATAAATTCAGAATTCCGTAACTTTGAGATCAGCCAAAATAATTTGTAAACTCATTAATCATGTGTAGCAGAGGGAAGTTCCCTAGGTTAATAGAAGCTCCAACACATTAACACTTAAAATCCCTCCAATGTGAGTAAAAGAAAATAATATATTTACTATTTAAGAGAAGACTGCTTACCAAAAACTTCAATAAGCTTCAGATGTTATTTTTGAATTTTCCCAAAATATTCTTAGAGAAAGCAATACTACTTTTTATTTTCCTACCAACTAGTGATTGATGTAGAATCAGAAGCTAGATGACTTAATCCAATACTTTAGGCATCAAAGTTAAAAGAGTTCTAAAAGAAGTTGAAAGGATATTGGTTGAAATCCTAGCTACAGAAAAAAAAAAAGTTGAAAAGATAGGAAAATTGAGTCTGAGCCAAAAGGTAACAGCAGTTTATAACAGATCTCTCAGAAAAACAAAAAACAAAAAAATATATATATATATATGTTGAAAGACAGCAATTTACTTTCACTTAAAATTGAAGGGGAAAAAAGGAATGAGGCAATAAAGATGTTGCAGAAAGACCATCAGATGGCAATTACAAGCTTTGGGGTTACTAATTCTTACTCTGCCTCTGTATGACTGTTATCAATTAACCTCTTTTATAGGAAACTAAAAGCAGTTTCTGTGAGATATATCTATCTTTTAAGTATTTAGGATTAAGTAGAAACAGAAAGTTTAAATGATTTGAAAATAAGAATTTGTATCAGAGTATAATTTACTACTAGTTCACATTCTTAACTAAAGTTCTGAAGAAATGCCAACAAATGTACATTTTGGACTTTATTGCCTGGGTCTAACAGGCTCTAAAAATAGTGGTCTAGAATCTGACTCTAGATTTAATATATTTGTGAATTATTTATTTATTTATTTTTAGAGACAGAGTCTTGCTCTGCCGCCCAGGCTGGAGTGTAGTGGCACGATCATAGCTCATTGCAGGCTCCAACTCCTGGGCTTAAGGGATTCTCCTGCCTCAGCCTCTCAAAAAGCTAGAACTACAGGCATGTGTCACCACAAATGGCTAAATAAAAAAAAAAAATTTAAAGATGGGGTCTCACTATGTTTCCCAGGCTGGTCTTGAACTTCTGGCCTCAAGTGATCCTCCTGCCTCAGCCTGAAAGTAGCTGAAACATTAGGTGTGACTTCCCAAAGTGCTGGAATTACAGGCATGAGTCTGGCATATTTGTGAATTTTTACATGTAACCTTTAATATTCATAATCCACCTGAAATTAAAAAGTTATCTAATTTGTGGGCCAATTATGTTACATGTGTATTAATTTTTTCTGGTTATGATAACCATCTCTGTTAATAAACCTACATGGAACTATACTCTCAAATCTCAATGGATTTAATTGTATTTGGCCACTTCAGAAATATAAAACATGTGTTGTGAAGTTAAGGTAGACTGGTTTCAAAGTCTACTTCTGCTATATAACGTTAGGCAAATTACTTAACCTATCTGAGTGTTAGCTTCCAAAGCTATAAAATGAAAACAATTTTAGTACTCAATTGATTATATTATTGTAGTAATTAAATGAGAAAACTGTTATTCTCATGCTCAGAACATAAGTACTGAAGAGTTGATTTTTTATAATTTACAAGGAGAGAGATGAAGGAGTTCAATTAAGTGTCTTAGAAAATACACAGCAATGAAGTATATATTACTTTACAGAGTGGGAGATAGGTTCTAAAAATTCAATGTAAGGCAAAAAAAATACATCTGACTTTTGTAGTGCCCACTCTCCTATAGTGACTAACCAAAAATCAGAATATTGATGATATCAATAAAATTTAACTTGAAAAATTCAAATATATTACTTCTCAAAAGCTTAATAACACAGAAATCACTTAATATTGGTTAGAACATAATTCTAATGCCTTTTCCCATTCTGTGTGGGCCTATTAGACTTGTACTTTCAGTTTTTCTTAATTCTTTGCCAAAGCACTTGAGTACTGGTCATTCAGTAAATGATTCATTATCATTGCTGAAAAATAGCTCAAAAACCTATCTTAATAATAGATCTTTACTATATAAAAGAATATGATATGACTGTGAATATATATGAGATAATAAAAAATAAAATATTCACTTACAAGTTCTGTCAAATGTCTAAGGTGTCCAATTTCTTCTGGAAGTGAAACCAGTTTGTTATTACTTGCAATTAAGACTTTCAATGGCAAATTACACAAGTGTACTGGCAATGTTGACAGTTGGTTCCGACTAAATAGGTACACAGAAAAAGAGAAGAGTCAGATCTCACCACTGAAGAAAAATTTTCCATCTTTCTCATTCTACAGTCAGTAAAATAACAAATATGAATCTTGCAATGAAAAAAAACAGGGTATTAGATTTGAGTTCTAGACTTCATTTCATTGGTTGTCAGTTTTGTGGTTATAGGTACAGCTTTGAACTTATCTGCACTACAGAGATTTCTCATGTGTAAATTGAGGATCTTAATATCTCCCCTACTTATATTTGCAAGGCTCTCGCACAATAGAACTTTTTTGTAAATGATGAAGTACTATAGAAATGTAACATTATGTTACTAAAGTAAAATTTATATAAGAAAAGATGATAAAAAGGGTAGATAACCATTATCCCTTTCTCCTTTTGAAGGGGAGTTATAAATAAAATTTGTAATCTACTTTCCTCATCATTACAATATTATAACCAAATATACATAAATGATTTAAATATAGCTGTATGATAAAACAAGTGATTTCATATATCATACCAACTAAGTTATAGGTAAAAAATTTTTATTTATACAAAAACATGCAAATCTGAACTGAAATAATAAAACATCTCTCATTAGAGTAAATATAAATTAAATGTTACGTATGTAGATTTAACCTTTTAATCTTTAGGATCAATTCCCTCCCAATTTTCAAGATCTTTTGCCGATTTCACTAATATAGATCATGAGCCCTTAAAACTTTTTTTTTTTTTTTT